GCCGTTTTACGGATGCACGCAATTTGTAACCTGGGCATGTTGGGTATCGTTTTACTCGTTGTAACCTCATCTTTTATATTTTATTAAAAAAATTGGTATTTTGTTGTGTTTTGGGGCATTTAATTAAATTTTTCACTAAATATTGGGGTTTAATAAGGAGTTGCGCTAATATTGCGCAACATAAAAATTTGCAACTACCACCATTTTATTCTATAGGGTCTTGGCATTCAGAAAATATATAATGTTGGGGGGTTTTAAGTAATTTTCAGGCCTAAAATGTGGAATATAACATGAGTACAAAAAATGAAAAAAAGGCCTCAGTCATGAAGGGGTTAAAGATAAAGAGACCTTGAACTATATCAAAATATAAATATCAACTTGCCAGCTCAGTATAGCACAATGTGACCTGAGAGATGGATCAAAAGGCTGAGAATGCAGATATATCCTGCACCATATTTCAAATAACCCCTTAATGAATCTACTAGTCCATATGGCACATTTCTGTGTAATAGGCATGATAAAATGTTTATTATTTTATTCATGATTATTTTAGTTGCTGATTTTGAAGGTTTGTTCTGGGAAAAGTGCAAATTCTGGGTATTGACCAACAGCACCTTGCAATCTCTATTTTTACTGCATGTGTTTATGCAGTACTATACATTTGTCAACATGCTTTGGGCAGTTTTAATTAAAATATGTTTTTCAAGCAAACATTTAAATTGCAAAACAAGCATCTTGATTAAATGAAAATGTATTTAATGTGATTATTTTGTGGTCTACAAATGTGAAGCTGTCCATACATATCTTAATGTTTGTTGTCATCTTTACTCTTTTATATGTGAAATAAAGAGCCTAATTAAAAGATATTGCTTCATAATTGTCTCCATCAGACTACAAAAGAACAGTTCATGTGGATGTGCCCTTTCCATCCTCCAGTGCAGCTTTACTTTGTTATCCGAAATCCTGCTCGGTCATGTGATTTTGACATATGTAAGGTGAAGATTTGGAATTATAACAAGATGCTCAGCGTAAGTAGCAGCAGCTCATTATGTTATTTGCTGGCTCACTCTCTGTACTGAATCACATTATTTTTTCAAATATGAAGACAGATTTATTTTTTTAACATTGTATTTTAAAAACCTACAAGATCTAAAGCATAAGGTAAGTCATGTTGTTGTTGTGTATACAGTAGAATATAATGTCATAATTACAATATGTTTTATGATTGGAGTACTCTTCCAAAATCAGCAGTATATATATTGCATTGTTGTTTTGTGTATTTTTGTTTTATTCTCAGGAAGCCTAGCTATATTTGACACACAGTGATTGTGTGAAATTATATATAAGGTCTTCCTCATCCCAGAGGGTCTATTTATTGTCACACAAATTTGTTGTCACACAAATTTCGCTCAAGATACACATTTTTGCATTTAAACACTTAAAGACCAGGTGTTTAGACCCCCTTCCGGGCCAGGCCATTTTTCAGTAATCACCGCTGCAGTACTTTGACATTTATTCCTTCATGCAACGCTGTACTAAACTGAATTTTATACCATTTTTTGGGGACAGATAGAGCTTTATTTTGGTGGTATTTAATCACCACTGCGGTTTTTATTTGTTACTATATTAAGGAAAAATTATTGAAAATTTTGAAAAAAAAAACGTCCCCATTATATTCTGAAACAATGATTATTACAAAAATAAAATATAATAAACAATAATTGCGCCCATTACGCCCCACATGTTACATATCGTCGCGAACGTCGGAATGAGAGCAATGATTCTAGGGCCATCAATCACTGATAACGCTAAAGTGACGCTAAAGATGTGGCAGGTCCTCTTTATGGAGACATCAGGGGTCTCCAAGACCCCTAATGTCACCTAGGACCCCCCTGAAGAAGCTGATGAAGCAGAGATCTGCTTCATCAGCTTCTCTCCAGCATCTGAAGCTGGAGAGTGACACAAGAATGCGGAAGTGCGGCTGCTCACAGCGCTCTCCTTCCGCATCGCTCAGCCTCCTGTGACAGTTTCTCTCCTGCCCGTTGGGACACAGAGCAGCGCCCAGCAGGGAGGAGAAAAAACAGGGATGCGCCGCTATTTCCACTTTCGGCATTGTGCATCCCTAGTAAAAACATTTCTAAATAGCCCCCTAGGAGTATTTTATGCATTTTGCTGCATGCACAAGCAAAATCTATTTACTCTTTAGCTAACCCATAATGTTAACAGCATACTTATTTGTAAATCAAATATTGTGTATATATAAGTGTAAAAAAAATAGTTATAGTTAAATCTTATAACTGTAAAAAAAAGTACCCAAAGCTATTATAGATGTTAATGTTTTTAGATTCATGTGTAAAAATGATCAGCTTAATGTAAATAACCTTATGAATGTATGCTCATTTGATAAGGTCCTTATTTGCATATTACATATACAGAGCTTACTTCCCACTTCATAATACTGTACAGTAATTATTTCTTGTTCATTTGGGGACACAGGATACAGGCAGCCATTGCAAGCACATACTCTAGCAAGGAACACCCATACAGCCTACTGATCCACATCTGTGCCCTTGGATTCAGTGCAGGCCTTCACCGGGTTATCTGGCAGCTTTTAGTCATGAAACACAGGTGCTGCACCTTATGGGCTCCACAGCAAAGATCATAAGTACCCCTCTGGCAGGGGCGTCCCGAGGCCGCATGTCACCCGGAGCGGAGATCAGGTGACACCCCGATGTGACGTCGCCATGCGCGTGCGCATAATGTCATCGCACATGTGCAGTCATCTTATTAACGCCTGCCGGCCGCCATCTTTGTATTCTCTCTTGACACTGTCGGGCTCTCGGTCAATCACCGAGTGCCTGACTTTTCAGAGGGGGTGACACCAAAATGACTGTCAGTCATTTTGGTGTCACCCCTCCAATGGTGGCACTCGGGTGCGGGTCACACCCCCCTTGCGACGCCACTGCCCTCTGGAAATCCATAACGGATGTCAGGCACAAGGGAAATGGGACTAGAAAGCAGATCAGCACACAATGTGCAGAGGGCTATGATAGAGCTTAGCAGGGTTCTCCTGGTAACTTGGCTTCTGTTACTTAAGACCTTAGTCTACACTCCTTAGAGTCTTCCCTGGGGTACCCCCATTCCTCATTTTTAACTAGAGAGGAAGGGGAGCATGAGTGCTCAGTTTGAGGACTCAAGAGGAAGACCAGTAGGCCACAATCTCTCCCAGGCTTAAAGAAACCATTGCGGTTTTTGTGGACACAGCATGCACTTGTTTAAAACTAGAAGTGCCTCCATTACTGGCCTTAAGGTGAAAATCCTTTTCTTCTCTGAAGAAAAATAAACTCGCTAAAACCTTAACACTTCGAGGTTGTGACTTTTTGTGTTGGATCCAACCAATTGCTTGGAGTACCTGGGCCTAGTCTTGGACACGGCCCAGGGTCGGGTGTTTCTTTCCCGAGAAAAGTTTTTTTTACCCTTCACTCTCAAATTCCATCCCTACACTCCAGGAAACTACCATCAGTCCAGTTTTACATGACAGTTCTGGGCATGATAATAGATACCGTGGAGGCAGTGGTGTTTTCTCAGTTCCACTCCAGGCCTCTTCAGCTCAACACTCTGGCTGCATAGAACAAAATACCCCAGTCTCTGGATCAATCCATATGCCTGTTCACCGAGACTCAGATCTCTGACCTAGGGACTGAGCAGCACAGTGCTGAAGGCAGGAAAGTCATTTCCCCTGCTCAATTGGATGGTTCTTACAACAGATGCCAGCTTGTCCAGCTGGTGTGGAGTTCTCAAGATGGAGATGGTCCAGGGGACTTGGTTAGCGAGGTAATCCAGGCTTCCCATTAACATGCTGGAGCTCAGGGCGATTTGCCTGGCCATCCTGAAGTGGACAAGTCAACTTTAGAATCGCCTGAAAAGCATTCAGTTGGGGACCATTATGGCTGTGGCTCACATCAGGGTGGTACCAGAAGTCTTGTGGACTGAAAGGAAGCAGACTTAATTAAGGCCGGGGCTGAAATGCATGTTTTTCCCTTGTGCACAGTCCATATTCTGAGAATAGACAAATGGCAGGTGATTTTTCTCAGTCGTCAATGCTTAGATGCGGTGTGAATGGTCTCTTCACACCAATGTATTTTAGGAAATTTGCCACCAGTGGGGAATGCCAGATGTGGATCTCTTGACATTGGACTTCAAAAACAAGGTGAATAGGTTCGTGGCCAGGACCATGGATAATCAGGCCTTTCCAATGGACATATTGTTGACAGAGTAGGATCAGTATCGGCTGATATATGCCTTCCCTCATATTGCTCCCCCATTGGGATTTTAATTAGGTCCTGTTGCCTCTCTAGAGGCCTCCTTTCAAGCCCATTGGTACTTTGGTGGACTATATTGGAAAGGTGACCTTCCTTGGCACTAACATGTCTGCGAGACAGGTTTTGCAATTGGGGGCCTTATCCTTTTGCCTATTGGTGTTGTTTGCTGTGTTGCCCACCACTCAGTTGTATTGCTTGGTGATATCCCAGGGTCTATGATTAAAGGAGCCTTTGTCCTGTACTGTACTCCAAGAAAAACCTTTTAAAGGGAAGTCAAAAATCCTATTATAATATGTTTGCTCTATATAAAAGTAGATATTGTAGTTTCTGTAGTAATATGTGTTTACAGTATTAAACATGTTAAGCCTAAATTGTATTTACTTAAACCAGGGGTGCCCATTAGGTCGATCGGGATCTACCAGTTGATCGCAAAGCTGATTCAGATTGATCACGATTGGAAGTTATATTTGGCTGCTTCGTTTATCTTGGAGCTCAGCTGCTGCTGGCCGGGTGCAGTTCTCAGACTTGGCCAGCAGGTGGCGCTCTGTCCCTGCCAAGCTCCTGACACTGTAAGCCGTGAGGGAGGGGGCATTGTGTACCACAGGCTATATATTTATACAAAATAGTGCATTAATCCATCCACTATATAGTTAAATTCTCCTTCCAACACTATATACAGAAAATTCATAATCCATTCATATCTACAAAGTAATATACTTTTAAATATGCATATGCAAAGTTCATAAATAGATAATCCTTCATAGAGTTCAATATATCCAGTGCTCTTTAGTGATATGTGAAATAACAACTACAGGGCTGTGCCCTCACCTACAGGGCTGTGCCCTCACGGACCAGGCCATTCCCCCAGCTACAGACTATGACCTACCTACAGGACTGTGTCGTCACTTACACAATAGACATGTGCATTCGGATACTGATGAACCTGCAAAATCAACGAAATTCGGCGGTTCGTCCGAATCCGAAATAAGGAATTTTTTTATATGCCCGAATATACTAAAACGATATTCGGGCATATAAAAATGAGTTAGCAGAAGGCACTGCGGCCATATTGGCCGCCGGCGGGTACTGTGCATGCCCGCCGCCATCTTGGAGTACATCTTGGTATACACCAAGATGGCGGCGCCCACATATTCGGGTGATACAATACGGCCGACGCTCGTTCTGCAGTCTCTTCGTGCGGTTTCAGATTCGGAGGCTCGTTGCCTCCGAATCCGAAACGGCCTTACAATTTGTTTCCATTGATGAAACAAATGAAAATTTGTTTTTTTTTGCCCTGCACATATCTATTACACCCTGAGATTAGGAACTTTAGGAGGTTTTTTAGGAGTGTGGCCATTACAGGTAATAGTCCCTTAGTTTACCCTCTCTCTGATAATTAGAGTGCTAGGTCTGACTAATGGCCCATTCACAATAGTACAGTGCGTTCATCGCAATCGCACCTGTTCTGTTGCGGGAGGTGCGTTGCTGTGCCTTTTCATTGGTAGATCTCATTGAACTGGTCATATAAAAAGTAGATCTTAATACAAAAAAATTTGCCCACCCCACACTTAAACAGTGTACGTGACATTTATATTAGATGAGGAATGATTTTAAGAATAATTAAATCAATTATGTGTGTTGGCCAAGTGTTCAAACTATAGGAATACATACCAGTAGATTGATGCTCCCACATTTTTATCCTTTTTATGTTCTTGTTAGCACGAGGACCACTCTAGAGGTTCGTGCATACCTAGCAACTGTCCTTTATTTGGAACTAAGTCCCTCTGTCCCTCTTTCTTCCTCAGTTGACCCTCTTTTTGGTCTGATGTATAGATATCTATGAAAATATACTATTTATCTACCAAAAGTGTTATTCTGCACTAAAACCTTTATCTTATTTCTTAATTATCTTGTTTGCTTATTTCAAAAGCCATTATTAAGAAAATGTAGTGGTGATACAGAAACCATTCATGTATATATCATTTTTGGTATATACAGTAAATTCCAAATGCTCTACATAACTGGGGGTATGGCAGGAGCATGCCCATTGCCTAAATACATTGTGCCATTGTGCCAGAAGGTGTCCCTCTTTCTCATTTCAAGGCATGGGCATGGGTTCGTGTAAGACTAGAGAGCTGCCTGTGAACCGACACATGTGAGCGGAATATATCTAACTATAACAGTAATTACATCTTAAAGTCCAGCACTCCTCGCCCCCGATTTACAGATTGTGTGGCTTTCAGGCTGGTACAGTGGGTGGCTTTGTGATATAAAAGTGCTGCAGCTGAAGTTGTACACTGACCTTTTGAAATTGCCCTTCAGGAAGCTGACTGTTCCCAGTAAAATTGTCAGGAGAGCATTGGTACTTTACCTGGAAAGCTGCTGCTATAAGGCTTTTTACATACTGCAATCAAACTAGAGATGGCATAAGCATTCATTTGGCTCTGAAATGTAAAGATAAGAGAATTACCTACCCATTTACATTTTTGGACTATCAACATAGCATAATGGTGGTCTCTATACAAATGTTGGTTTATTTTTTAATGTACAAGACTGCAAATGGATCTAGACTAGACACTACTTTAAATAGAATTAAAATACAGGATCCATCAAATAACATTTCTTTATGATATTGTCAGAATGTTTACTCTGATAAAATAAACAGTTTTCTATTTATGAAATTCTCAGTATACCGCGAGCTGTAGCTGGCGGTATACTGAGCTGAGAGTGACGGGAGGACGCTAGTTTGTGTCCTCCCGTTACCCTAAGGAGAACTATGGGGAAAAGCCTTAACCCCATAGTTCTGCTTTTAAGGAGATTCCCAACGTATTTTCACAAATCAACAAAAATAACTCAAGTTTGTTTATTTGTTTATTTGCGCTAACCTGAAGACAAAATGAGTACAATTGTGTGTGTGTGTGTGTGTGTGTGTATATGTATGTATATATATATTAACTAAAAATCAGTGCAGAATAATAATCAAAATATAACTCGTGATAAACAAGAAATAAATTGCATCGAATTTTCAATAATATTGATCCACATAGATAATGAGAAAAATAAAACCACAGGATATTATTTCAAATATTAATGAAACAAAACTAAGTAACTCCTGGAATGCAATTAGTAGCTTATCATTAGCTCAGCAGAATGTAACAAAATAATATGCAGATTTGACACGTGACCTGTCCCAGCCAAAAGATATTGACCAGCTCAAATTTATACTGCGCAAGAACCAACTTGTTATATCATGCACAGAACTGGCTATTAGCCAAGAATATATTTAAGGCAAAGACAAACTTCCCCTAAGTTATTTTATTTGGCAATATATATTCTAATTATTGCAACATATTGTCTATCCCCGAAAGTAGTGACTATTTTATTGTAACAGTGCGGACTATACGGTAAAACTGATATTTCGTACTCCATTTTTGCCATTTTCATATTTAGTCATATCTGCTACATTGAACAGCTCTTGATTATATTTTTTTTTTTTACATTTTGCCTTGCACATTTTTGCTGCTACAAAAACTCGTTAAAAATGACCGCTCTTAAACTTCTAAGGATATTAAAGGTGGCAAAGTATGCACCATCATACTCCTCAAAGTTGGTTACCAATGCATGTACATATAATCTTGAAAACAAATAGATCAGAATCCTTTATAGATTTCCCTTGCAGTCCTAATATATTGCACAAAACATTTATTTAAAAAAAAATGATTAATCATCTCTTAAATAGCTTTTAGTAAGTTTTTATATCATGATTAATGATATTTTGGATATCAAATAAATTGAAGTCATATGAAGTTTAACATTATGACACTAAGGCACAAACCTACCTGTTACAAATATATTGTTTGTATTGTGGAGCCCCAGGTATAACTTTTATTTTAGCAAATGTTTTTATGTATTTAGTAATATAAAGCATTTTTCTGTGTGAGTGCTAGTGAAAAATTCCTATAAACTGTGGGTTGCTGAATTAACTAGACTTTTTAGATTATTTTTAAGCAATCTCCATTGCATGCTTAAATGGATAAGAGCTGTGGGTTTGGGACTGCATTGCCTCCTACCATATGTAGTACACTTAATTAGTAGTTTGTATTTTGGTATAATACAACAGCAGCAATTTAAAGAAAAAACATATTTTGCTCTGTGGTGCTACTGCAATCATCTAATGACTTTTTCTAATGAAATTCAATCACAGTAGTATAAACTTCGTTAGAGGAATTCATATAACATCTTGTGAAGAGATAATAGAATAATAACATAGTAATGATCAGTAAAAAACAAAGGTAAAATAGCATATTTTGATATTCATGTCACATTGTACAAATAGAAAGAGCAGAGACTAGGCTAAAATAAGCACTTCGGGAAGTCAGAGTGCTCAGTTTCTCCTGTAAAAGTGAGTACAAAGAGGCAGGCATATAGTGCATGGGAGTGGGGAGGCTAAATGCAAAGGGAACGGCAAGGATGTGGCGAGGGTGACAGGTGATCAGTGCGCAGAAAACGGGATAGAAGTAAAAGAATAAGGGTAAGTGGGAGATAAGAGAGGGAGAGAAAGAATGAGCCGAGAGATGGAAATGTAGACGGAGAGGGAAAAGGGGGGAGCCACAGAAATGAAAATTTAGGGGGGTAGCACCCCCAGGCACAGGCCCCCACCTCCCAATATGGATAAAAGGTAAGCTTTAGCAGCTGAGCCAGGGTCTCCAATTTAGCAGTAAGTTCTGAAACCATAGAGAAACCAGCTTAGGAGATCTAAACCAGAGTGGATACCACAGTACAAGGATTTATGATCTCAGTATATGTTGTAGTATATTTAAAAAACCTACCAGCAAGATCAAATGCATTCATATCCAGAAATATTGTCACAACCAATGTGGATTAGCTCTTTCATTTCAGAAACATGGTCAATGTGCCTGAACCAGGCACGTAATTCAGGCGTGGTATATGAATTCCAGAATCTGGGTATGCTCATTTAGGAGGTGTACAGTAAGGGATTTCTAATATTTTGAGGAGGAAACTTCGGATTAGCGCAGAAGATATCGGTCCTGGCTAAAAGGAATCTGTTCACTGTTGATTTCTAGGAGATCACAAATCTTTTGTCCAAAACAAAGTGATCAGCGGGCAAATTCACTATTAGAATATAAGTAGCAATACTAATAATGTTTATAGGGTATTATTCATTTAGGGATTATGTATAATTGTGAAGGACATAAGTGATGATTGATTTTCTATATATTCATTTGTTAATTTTGGGAAAATACTCAAGCGGACTAATGTCCATGGTTTTGGTTGTACTACAAGTTATTTGCTGCACATATGTTATTCATCAATCATGATGGTAGAGATGGCTAAAACCTCCCACATTCCTAATTACTGAGGAAGACAGTGTGAGGATCACTTTGCAGAATATTCTAAATCAAAGTTTATGAAGTGTTTACAAACTATGAACTATTAAGTTAAACCTGGGCCGAGAAAGAACATTGAATTATGCATAAATATATAGATACATGCAACATTATATGGTATATGTGCAGACACATATACAAATATGTTAAACTTTTACAAAAACATACTTCTACATTTACATAACTATTTTTATATTTTGTTTCATGCCATTTATCTTGTAATAATTTGTAACTTTGTAATTAAACACATTTTTGAGTTTTATGCAAGAACAGAAGCTATTTTCTCTTTTGAACTTCTTCCACCCTATATCCTCAAGATAAAAGAATATGATATACAAATATTATCTTGCATCCACCAAACGCCAGCATTTGTCAGGAATATCTAATGAAAATGTATGAAAAATCTCAGGGGTCCGATACCAACCATATCATCATTTTTAGTTGGTTTCCTAGATATTAACATATTCAGAGTCCTTTAGCATATTGAGATTCATTAATCTCTCAATCCTCATCGGTGTAGGTCAGAATGTGCTATATGGGTCAGTTTGTTGTACAAGTTAGAAACAAGGTGCCAACGGGAGTCGAGGAACAACAAAGCTTTTCAAATTTAGACAATCGTCTACTAAAAGAGAGACGTTTACCAGAAGCATTAGGAAAAATATTTGACCAGAAAGGAATAGGGTCTTTCTGCGAACTTGCAGAAAGTCCATCACAAGATAGAAACACATCTCTTAAAAAAGGGAATCAGCTTGTATAGGTGACCGGCCCTGGAGTCAAAGGGCTAGTGGTGGAGGAAAGGTCAGTCTCAGGAATTACACTGTAATATTACTGTAAAGTAGCCCAAATTAATGGGTGACCGTGAAAGGATCCAGGTATTTACTGAGTTTTTATACCCCTTAGGGTACCCCATTGTTGAGCTCTGTGCACCTATACTACCAGACCTGCTTGTGTAGATTTTTACAAGGTGGCTTACTGAATTGCTGCTGCATTCTCTATTTCTTTATTTTACTAAAGGCTGTGGTGAAAAAAATCCTGCTAGGCTAGAGGTACCAGAACGTATACCTAAAATATTTTCGAGTGCATATAACTTTTAATAATATGTGTATTATTAGATGTTGCTGTAAAATAAAGTTTACAATGTATAGTAATTTTGTATATTTGTATACATGTCTGTTTTTCAGTATCTCGACATTGGTGCAAAACATGTGAGGATATATAAAAATGAAGCTTTGATGTTTGATGGATTCTTAGAAAAAGGATGTGGAAATAAAGTATTTGATTACGGTAACGATATTGATTTATTTACTGGACAAGTGAGGTCTGTCTCTCCGAGGTGTATGTCCAGAAACCAGATGGATGTAGAAAATGAAATCAACAGTTCATGTAGCAATAATGACCATGTGCCACAGCTCTCTTCTTGTGGAAAGTTGAGCTCTTTACTTCAAGCACCTACATCAGAAAGTTACTCAGATTTGAAAGAACATAAGCATCTTTTACATTGTAGCCTGGATGATTTAAGTGCCAGCAGGCTAAACAAATCTGTGACAAAACGAGAGGTTGAATATAATGAAACTGAAGATGTTGAAGGGAGAAGACCTAATTTATTCAGAGAGGAACACAGACTTATAAATGAATGTAAAAAATTGCCAGACGACTCAACATCACCATCAGATCATGTAAACTTAATTGTGAAAAAACAACTAGAAACAAATAGTGGACAAATGGCAAAGGCACCATCAACTAAAACCCCACCATGGCTTTCTTCCTTCAGCAGCTTTCAACCGAATTTGCAGGACCAAAGTTCCTTGAAGCAGGATTTGTGTTTGAATGGTATCCAGTCTATCAGAAAGGATACTTGCAAAAATGATGAAAATACTGTTATAATTGATTTTCTTCAAAGTCCTGTTACACATCGAAGCCATATAGATAGAAATGAAAACAGAAGAAACTTTTCTTCATTGTCATCTCAGAGTATTGGCATTGAATTAGAAACCTGGAACACCAAGCCCTTTTCTGAATCGGAACATTCAGTCAGTGACAGACATAAAGTAAATGTCAACGATAAAAGGCTGGACAAATGTACAGATATAAATATGCCAACAAAAAGTAAGTCTGAAATTTGAAACATTTATGATTATAACTGAATGACTTCTTTTTGGCTACTATTACAATTTAATATTATTATGAAGGGCATACATTAATGCCTCACATCTACCTCCTTTCTTTTCCTAACTGTTGTCTTTGTCAGGAGTCGGCAGCGACAAATTGCTTTGCTACTAATATACTTCCTGAACTCCTATGAAATGAAAAGGTCACAATTTCTAGGTTCACTTGGCTGATTGCTGGAATGAAAAAACACACCTTAAAGGTCATTGCAGTGTTCTTTAATCCAGACACTATAAAGCAGAGCAAGTATACAAAGCATAGAGGTTAGCAGTTGCAGGAAAACAATATCATTATAAAGCGATACACTTAAAGTGACTGTCGCTTCCCCAGAAAAATGTAAACGGCTCCCCACAACAGAAGACTGTTAAATACTTTCCTCCTTAAAGCTGGCGAGTCTAATTTTCTTCCAGTTCTTCAGCCATCGGCAAAGTCTTCAGCGTTTTGAGAGTATCCAGTACATGCATCCATGCTGTAGTTCCTTCCTTTGACTCTTACATCACTACTGGAGTAACATAAGGTAGGGGCTGGTGGTTTAGATATTTTTTTTCAGGGTAGTAACAGAGTCACTTTTATTACAGATTTATATACTTTTACCAAGTTTCATTAGCTACTATGGTACAGGTGTTGGAATGCCTTATTAGTTAGAGTTTATTAAGTAAATTACTGTCCAATTGGTGTGACATTACAAACTTTCTGCAGGTTTCCTTAGCTAGATGTGTCTCTAGGATATGTCCATACAATTTACATATACACACACAAATCTGCACACCATCTAAGTACAAAAGCTACTAAGGTTAGGTGGAATGGTACAAAAATTAGAATATTATAAAATCAAAATGTAAGAAACTTTTTTTAAGAGCGTGTTAGTAGTATATCCAGCATTTTGTATGATTACACATTCTCAAGTACATACACTAATGTCCTCCTGTGACCCAAAACTGATCATATAGTGGGCTATTGCTCACTATATGCTGACAGCGCAGAGGCGCCCTGCAGCCGGGACAGATCCCGACAATATTGTCGGTATCCACCACGCTGCCTGATTGACAGCTAGCTCTGCTTCTAAGGAGCCAGAGCCAGCTGTTCCCGCCCCCTCCTCCATCCGTTCCTCCAGTCAGTGCTGGAGGGGAGCAGTGACTGACAGTCACCACTCTTTGCAGGGAGAAGATTGGGAACTGAGCGATGTTATCGCTAAGTTCCTGATCAATAGAGCCGGCGCGTGACAGCTTCATGTCACATGTCTGCTCTAATTATGGTGGTGATTGTGTTTCACTCACCCCATAATTCTCCTTTTTAACATTTCAGGATATAGATATTCTCAGTATTGACAAGTGTATCTCACTGGCCATAGATATAATAAATTCAGTTGTACAATCTATTAAACTCTACCTGATCCTTTGCCTCCTCTAAGTCCTTTACCTACCTGTTCTTTCCAAACTGCTTGTCAAAATGTTCAGTGGTGCCCCAGCAGAGTATAAACTCTCCATCGGTTTGAATGGACATGCTGCCCATGCACATGCCTGGGTCAGAAGATTTTGACAAATGGTTGTAATAGTACCAATATTGCAGTTACACCTGAATGTTAAATTGAATGCCTTTAAAAATAAATGTATCCTACAATCAAGTTGGATTTGTATTGGTTTAAAAAAGAAAGTGTATGCTGCGTGTCTACTCCTATTCTCACCTTGCACAATACAATCTGATTATACAAATTCTGTTTAGTCTGCATTTATTTAGCAACTCTGGATATGGATTTGCTCAACATTTTAAATGTGGGTTAAACTGGCCATGGACATTACAACCTCGTACAACCTCATTCCAATGTGAATGAGTTTATTAACTCATTGGATAACATTTAAACCCATAAACGTTTGCATGTATGTACAGTTATATCTAAGCTCAGTAGGTTGTGCTCCCCCTCCTTTCCGACAGCTCTGTGCATGGTTTCATTTAGAGATCGAATATCTGAAAGAGTACAAAACCTCCTTGTTATGTGGCCCTTGGCTTTTGTGTAGGTGAGGGAAAGAACTGGCAAAATTTGTGTCAGGGCCAAAGTTGGAGAATATATGCCACCATTTTACTTTTCGTAGCTGCAAGCTCATCAGGTATACTTCTTCATGTTGCCATGTTCAAGACATACCCCCTTCCAATTAAATTAGGTATTTAAATAGTGAAATACTTTATTTCTCATTAACTGTTACGTTGTCTCATAAATCATATTATTTATCACCATCTAAATTGGCTCCTTTACTTGCTCTCCTGTATAGATACCTCATTGACCGTCACAATACGTTTTCACCTAGCTTCTTGAATGAGTTGAAGCTAAGTGAAAATGTAATTTGCAAAGAACACCCAATCATGTGCAAGGAAATTTAAACCTTTAATTTAGCTTTTCACTAAGCTAAATGAAAGGTTACTTTGCATAGTGAAAATGCACTTGGTCACAAAGTACATTCTCATGTAGCTTACGGAATGAGGTGAAGTTGTGCTGACTTCAATCATCCAATCATGTACAGACAAAAAAAATAATGTGTTAAAGTTAATTGTCACTTAAATTCACAATATTCGCCAAGCTAAGGCCTATCATATACAACTTGAATTTAGGCTTATTCCTGCTGAATCAGCCAAAATCAAAATCATGGGTGTCCTAGTTGGCACAGCTTGGCTCCACAAAAGCCGACTGAAAAATCTAAGAAGCTGGGTGAAAAATCACCCCCAATCCAATCTGGCACTCACTGTTTTGCTTTTCAGACAGCCCGCTGTTGCCAATTGTCTGATTACGATAGCTGGCAAGAGAAATTCCTCCATCCATGCTGTTTAGCATGGATGGAGGAATTTTATGGATGTACACGTGTATGGTTAGTCTTAGCCAAAATTCACTTTGCAAAGTGAACACAGTGTACTTCTTTAGTAAATCAACCTAATTGTGTATCACATTTTATGTCACTGTTACAGTTCCATATTTTGACTTATTATTTTTCTTTTAGGTAACCAAGAAAATATTAAGATCACACAGAGTCGCAACAGTGATCAAGATAACATACTTATGGAATCCTGGACTTCTTTGCTGAAATTCAATCAGTCTCAGCGTGGTCGAATCTCAAACATGGAGTTTGAAGGGGATATTTTTGATGAGTTTCTGCAGCAGCAAAAAATTGGAAGGCAAAGTGTAGCAAAACGAGATAACCAAGAACAGCCCAATCCATCAAATATGAATCTGTATGAAAATGACAAAGATGATGGGTCTGAGTTTGAAATACCAGTTTTACCTCATGGCCAACGCTTATGCATTAAAATACTCTCTACCTGGGGAGATAGGCATTACGTTGGACTTAATGGAATAGAAGTATATACTTCCACAGGCAACCCTGTTCCCATAGCAAAAATTAAAGCATATCCCCCTAATAAAAATACTTTATCTGCATTTAGTAAAGACCCTAGAGTTGTGTTAAACCTTATTGATGGTGTTAACAGCACACAAGATGATATGCATCTTTGGCTAGCACCATTCACTCTTGGAAAGATTCACTATATTTACTTAGACTTTGCATCACCATGTGAAATAGCCATGATTAGAATATGGAACTACAATAAATCAAGAATTCATTCATATCGGGGTGTAAAGGACGTTGAAATTGTTCTAGATCACACTCTAATTTTTAAAGGAGAAATTGCCAAGGCATCAGGCACACTGTCTGGAGGTATGTATAATGTTTTTAGCTCTTTGGATCTTTTTTTTTTTTTTTTCATTTAAACTTTAAAGTTGAATTTGGGAAGCGTGATAACTTCTGCCTGGTTTCAATGTGACCCTGTCACGGTGCCCATGGTTTCTGTTTTCCCTGAGATTTCTCATCTCGTTCTGTCTTGCACCTGCATACTGACAGGCAGTGAAGACACTTGTGTTGTCCAAAAAGAACATCAGACTACAGTTTGCCATCAAACGTGTTTGTGTATATGTATGCATGTGTGTATATATATATATATATATACACTCACTATATTGCCAAAAGTATTGGGACACCCATCCAAATTATTGGATTCAGGTGTTCCGTGAAATTTCCTTGCTACTAAATATTCCACGGTCAACTGTTAGTGGTATTATAACAAAATGGAAGCAGCTGGGAACAGTGTGCAGAAGCCACCAACTGTCTGCAGAGTCAATAGCTACAGACCCACAAACTTTGTGTGGCCTTCAGATTGGCACAACAGCAGTGCGTAGAGAGCTTCATGGAATGGGTTTCCATGGCCGAGCAGCTGCATCCAAGCCTTACATCACCAAGTGCAATGCAAAGCGTCAGATGCAGTGGTGTAAAGCACACAGCCACTGGACTCTTGAGAAGTGGAGACGTGATCTCTGGAGTGACGAATCACGCTTCTCTATCTGGCAATCAGATGGACGTGTCTGGGTTTAGAAGTTGCCAGGAGAACGGTACTTGCCTGACTGCATTGTGCCAAGTGTAAAATTTGGTGGAGGGAGGATTATGGTGTGGGGTTATTTTTCAGGGGTTGGGCTTGGCCCCTTAGTTCCAATGAAACAATGTAAAATCTGCGCTTCTGGACTGGGTACGATGTGAGAGCTGCTGCGCTATGTTTTGTGAAGATAAAAAAGATTTTGAGTGTGCAGCACTATTAAAGTGAATAAAGTGTAATCCCCTCTTCGGGTATATCAAAAATTTATATAAATAAGTTATGGACAAAGTTAATCAATCCTAAAGGGTGGGGAATTTCCAAAGAGTGAATATGCAAATGTAATATATATATAGCTAACTTCCATTCTTTAATAGACATAAAAAGGTATAAAAAAGTAAATAGTTCATATGTGGTGTCATCAATAGTAAATTGCTAAGAATGACTAAAAACCTTAAAAAATTGGTATATAAAATGATTGAATATATGAGTAAAATTGGGCTAAAAGATCCGCAGTGGTGTACATAAGAAAAATAAAATTATATGGCATCAGCATACCAAGACATTTTGGACAATTTCATGCTCCCTACTTTGTGGCAACAGTTTGGGAATGGCCCCTACCTGTTTCAACATGACTGCACTCTAGTGCACAAAGCAAGGTCCATAAAGACATGGATGAGCGAGTTTGGGGTGGAGGAACTTGACTGGCCTGCACAGAATCCTGACCTCAACCCAATAGAACACCTTTGGGATGAATTAGAGTGGAGACTGCGAGCCAGGCCTTCTCGTCCAACATCAGTACCTGACCTCACAAATGCGCTTCTGGAAGAATGGTCAAACATTCCCATAGACACACTCCTAAACCTTGTGGACACCTTCCCAGAAGAGTTGAAGCTACTATAGCGACAAAGAGTGGGCCAAATCAATATTGAACCCTACTGACTAAGACTGGGATGCCAGTAAAGTTAATGTGCGTGTAAAGACAGGCGTCCCAATACTTCTGGTAATATTGTGTGTGTGTGTGTATGTATCTATGTGTGTGTGTGTGTGTGTGTGTGTGTGTATGTATGTATGTATGTATGTATGTATGTATGTAATATATATTTTATTTTTTTGCATGTTTTAACTTTCCTTTTTGCATTTCTCAACTGCAGAACATTTTGGGGATACAATATTGTTTACTACCAGCGATGAAATTTTGCAGGCAATCTCCATTTATGATCATACATTTGCTGAGGATTTTGAAAATACAGATGTTCCAATAGGTGAAGAAAAAGTGAACATTCGTCCAAAGACTGCAGACAGTGGTGGTGAGGGAATGCCATTTACAGAGATAGACTCCAATGAAAAAGTACAGGTAATAACATAATAACAAATTTCCTATTTTATAATGGAAAAGGAAACCCAAAAAGACATTTGTGGTAAATGGCTTAGTTCTACAAATACTGTTTCCATTTTTATTCTTCACTAATTGTCCAAGATCTGTTGTAAGAATCGGCAAATTAATACTATTTTAGTTTTGCTGTACAGATGTAGTGTTACCATCTGTACAGTACAGTACATGATTTAAAATTGTGATGTGCTATTGAAAAGTTTTTATAAAAAGATCCAAAAGTATCTAAGAGTAAATACATACTATGTGATTTAAAGTGACATTTAAACCCTCAAATTTTTTTAACAAACCAATACTGTAATGTGTGCCTTACTGTAATCCATGGTTGTTTCCCTTCTCTTTGCTGCTCTTCCTTTTTAAATCTGTATCTCTTCTCATGCTTGGGGAGAATTTCCCTTTGCAGCTGAGTGCCTCTTCCTGTAGTGCTGGCTCAGGTTGTGAACCCTCACACAGACACCATGTATCCATTCCTGAGACAAGGCAGTCTGCTGCAAAACAGAAGTTCTGCCCAGCATGAGAAGAGATACAGATTTAAAAGGAAGAGCAGCAAAGAGAAGGGAAACAACCATGGATTACAGTAAGGCACACATTACAGTATTGTTTTATGATAAAAAATCTGAGGGTTTTATGTCACTTTAAATAACCTGCCATAGATTGAATAAGTTACATTGTTACATTGTTTAACTCTATATATGTGGTACTGCAATTAGCAATTTTACTGTGGTTTCCTCTTGACAGTCTTTTGATATGAAAAGTAAAGCGGACAGCTCTCCAAATCTTGCCAGTACTATAGCCGGTGTATACAGCGGTAAATGTAAGTATTTTAAATAGTGCATACCCTTAACTTTAAGCAGAATAGCAGCTCTTGTTTTTTCCTTAATCTGTACTTAAAGGAGAACTCTGAGATGAGTGATTTCCACTCACCTCATAGTTCTAGCCGACCTGTGAGACTGTCACAGGTCGGCTCAGTAGATTGGGAGGTGAGCGAACACATACTGGGTTCGCTCACCTCTCGATCCTGTCACGGCTGTCTGCCGTGACAGGGGGAGGGGCTGGATTCCCCTCTCCCCGCTCCGATCTGCCAGCGCTGACTGGCGGAATGGACGGGGGAGGGTACAGCTGGCTCTGCCTATCTAGAGGCAGCTGTCACTCACACAGCTGGGCGGATGTCGATGTCGGGATCCGCTCCGGCTGCGGCGTCTCAGTATACCGCGAGCTTAGGGTAACGGGAGGACGCTAGTTTGTGTCCTCCCGTTACCCTAAGGAGAACTATGGGGAAAAACACTGACCCCATAGTCCTCCTTTAATCTGTTCTAACATGTTGAATTGATGATTTTTTTTTTTTTCAAAAATATTTTATTAAAGTTTCAGCAATATTAACAGTAGTAAAACATTAGTCTACTTGATGTTGATGAGATCCCATGCTTTCTTTTTCACCAGTTTTTATATACTTTCCAAAATGTTTCCAAACTTTAGAAAGTCATATTCTACTAGTACAGCCTTTGCATGGACCAAGCACCAACTGTATCCTTGGGTTTCCAGACTGGTGCAGAGCCTTAAGAACTGCATGTACCGTCTTACTACAATGTGGCGACCATATAATGTTTCTTTACTTGCTGCTACCTCTAATCTATGCACAGTTTCATAACTCTAAAGGTGCCCATACACCTTACAATTATCTGCAGATTTTCTGTGGTTAGATGGAAAAAGTGCAACAGATTGGCCCAGGTGGAGATTATTCCATCCACACAGTTAAGTGTAGATGGAGGAATCTGTTGCACCTTTTCTATCTGACCATAGAAAATCTGCAGATAATTGTAAGGTGTATGGCCAGCTTTACTCTCTCAAGGCCTTTGAGGTGAAACCTCATACCATGTACCCTTACCACACAGTGCAGGCTGCACTCTTCAAAATGGCCATTGTGTTATTCAAGGTTTAAATTAGTAGTTAATATATATTTAAGACAAAAGGTTTTTAAGGCATTTTAATTGTTGATTAAATCACTTACAATTAATGCTGACCTTGATGTTTAAAAGTTTTAGCTTCCTGTAGAATCAGCTGGTGCCCTGAGCACTGTCCCTGATATCCTGTTTTTAGGGCTTGTTCACACCAGTTCCGGACCAGATTCTTTTTTGTCCGCACCTGAAATGCATCCAAATGTATTCCTATGATATTTTTGGGCTCTGTTCACACCAGTGCAGTCCGTTCCAGTGTGGGGATTTTTTTTTTTGGTTTGGAACGCATGTAAATGCATGCAAATGCACAAAAAAGCACTGGACCGCACCTGGAAGCCCATTTTAAGCTAAAAAAAAAACCTGCACCGGAACGTGTAAAAAACGCACTGCACCGTGTTTGCAGATCTGATCCATATCTGGACATGGTGTGAACAAGCCCTTAGGGTGGCTCCTTTCCCTTTCCTATGGAGCCAACTTGTGTGTGTTCATAAGCTGTATGTGTCTCCACAAACACACAGGCATTGCAAGGTAAGTCTCTCCCCTTCCTCTTGTTTCTCTCTCTCCTTCTCCCTTCACCAAGCTAGCAGATGGATAATTGCTGGAGACTGCTCTGTCTTTTGTGATCTTGCACTGGACAGAAAATTCAGGGAAGCCAAGCTGAAACATGATGACTGTAGGTGTTTAGGCAAAAATGTAAATGCATACTTTGCTGGGCAGAATATATTTGTTTGATCTGGATTCATTATTTTAAACAGTTTGAGAGTTTAATACTACTTTAAACTCACAAACTTGTTTTCAATGATGAATCCAGATCAAACAAATATACACTGTCCAGTGCCCAAATACAAGTATTTATTTACATTTTTGCTCAGGCACTTGCATGTTTCCAAACAGCTGGCTCCAACTCTCTCAGTTTGGTTTCCCTGAACTTCCTGTCCAAGCTCACAAGGGACAGAGCAGGCTCCATCCGCTGTCCATATACTAGCATGGAGGAGAGGAAAGCAGGGGTAAAGGAAGTGGTTTGCCTTGGTGTGCTGTGTATTTGTAGAGATACACACGGCTTACTAGCACACACATGGGTTGCTCCATAGGACTCTGTAAGGGAAAGGAGCCACCCTTAAACAGACTGTCAGGGCCGGTGCTCAAAAGACCAGCTGATAATGCAGGAAACTAAAGCTTTTAAACATCAAGGAGCATCATCCATTGTAAGTGATTTAATCAGCATTTGAAAAGGCTAAAAAAACATTTTGTCCTTTAATATCACTTTTAAAGCTCTATGCCCCCCACTACTACTACCTGTTAGCTGTCAAAATATATTTTTAAAATAGTTTTACTTTGCTCTACTGTCCACTGGGAAATACAAAAACATTACAGTATCATGGATTATATAGTGCCAACTATAGTGGAATATACACTAGTTCAAGAAGACAGTTGGCCATCGTTAGGGTATATAACCCTTTTTTTTTTTTCTAGTGTCCTCTAGGAGATGGAGTAGGGACTCCAGCTCTATTGTCCTGAGACATGTTGATTTCTTCAGTAAACTGCTGATAGATTCACAATAGATCTTTCTAGCCCTGGATAGTTTGTTACTGCAGGGCACCCTTGGAAATACTGTGTACTGGGCTTTGCTCAAGATGGGATGTCACTACAGATGCACTTTTTCCAGAGCCATGCAGTTCAGGCAACACTGACCCAGTTTCTGAGGGACTCAAGATATGCGAGTAAGGCTATCGGTGCAACCTCTGTTAGAGAGGTTTCTAAATTCTATGCAATATGGAAATCTGGAAGAGTTAGAGTTGTCTTTTTTAGGAGGCATCCTCTGCTTAACTGCTACAGGGATGCAGAGACTGTGTAGCTTTTCTCATAAGCATCAAGATCTACTCGTGTAGAATTAATAAAGACTGATGCTCCCATTCAGGAATCAGTCTGGTAGGGACATGGCAAGACAAACAACTGTTTTCCTTTCAAAGATAAGTAGGAAATTGCAACAAGTTTGTTTCATTTCTTTGCCATGATTATTAATCACTTAATCACTCTGGGGCTTGTGTAGTGTAAGTGCGGTTGCTGGCATCCTGGGATGTTGCAGCCTACATTTTGTTGTGATTTTGCAGGTTCCTCTGGCTATCCTGGCCATCTCCTTTTATAAACACGACATTCTCCATCCACCTGCACTTTTCCTGCAGGTAGCCTGCCAGTGCTGGTGAGAGTAAAAATTACAGGGTGGATCCTCATCGGCCACCTGCAGTACCTTGGTCAATGTAAGCCTGACCACCCCAGATCTGTAGTTGTTGGCCTGGTTGCTAAGGGTCTGTGAGCACCCCCTGGAGACCCAATGGAACTTGTGTTTCTCTTTGTGAGCTTGTAATAGCTTAACCACTCCTGTGTCCATTTGGCAGCATGCCTGGCTCTGTGTTTATAGTCTCTTTTGTTTCTCAGTATATGGGGTGGTTTTTGGATCTGCTTTTTTGCAGTGTGCAGTCTGCTTCTTAAAGGGACATTACATCTTGCCTGACAATTTGGCTTCAGCATTTATATTTGATTCACTAGCTGCCCTTTGTGTCATTTGCCTGTATGTCTGGCTCCACAGTGTGCAGTTTCACTTTTTAAAGAGATTTTGCACTCTGTTGTACAGCGTAGTTTCTTTATTTTTACGCTTTTGGGGTCTTTTCCCCTATTATTTTTTCTATTAGGGATTTTACCCCATTGTGGTTTGTGTACCATTATGATAGCTGGTATCATGATATCACCCTCATGATAGCTCTTCCTGACCATCGTTTTTTTTAAACATTTCCCCTTTCCCTCATCCCTCCTCCATGCTTTTTTAGTGATTTTTCTTCCAAGTTGAGAAAGTCCTGTTTAGCCTTTTCCATACCACATTGACCAGTCTGTGTCAAAGTACCGCAGCGCTGAATACTGAAAAATGGCCTGGATGGGAAGGGGCTTTAACACCGCGGATGTCAACTGGTTAAAGGTTTACTCCTCTCTGGGGGAAAGCTCAGGGCTTCTGCCTTACTTTATTCTACCATCACTCTTTTCTTTTGGGAGTGCCCCTCCTTTTAGCATCCTACTGATAAGTGGTTGCAATTTCTATCCCTTTGCGTGTAGGTTGTCTGGGTCAGTCCTGTAACCTGTATAGTGCTTGCATTGCTGGCTCAGAACTCTTCAGATTGATCTACATCTCTGCATTGGGTTTTATCTGCTACTTAACAGGTACTGGCTGGCACTTTATTGAGTGACTGTTCATATTATACTGGCCTTGAGCGCCTTGTGCAACACAGTGCTGGATGTTAGTTGTGTGTTTTATTACATCAGCCTCCTGTCGGTCCAGGTGCAGAATGCGTTCCCGCCATGATGTTGATCAGCAGACCACTTTTCCAGAAGGCTCTGCTTTTCCATTCTTGGCAGAAACATTGATGCTTCACTGGATGATCTCATCTAGCAATGCCTGGGGTAAAATAAATATTTGCTTCATTATCAAGCCCCTCTGTATGTCCTTCCGGGACATCTGCCTCATTGGTTCCTGGCAGACCAGAAAGGTGGCCTGCAGATTTGCTGCTTGATTGTGCAGCCCCACCTGTTCAGCCAGGGTCAGAGGATGACTGTTGGTGTTCATGGTCACTGAGAGGACTCACATCGTACTCTGGACTGGGTCTTTCAGAGGTGCCTAAAGCTTTGTTTCTACCCTTAAACCCTCCAGTGGCCCCTCCACAGTTTGTGGGTTAACCCGCCCTTTGTAAGTTGTTAGACTGGGGGGGTCATTGTTCTTGTTCAGCCCACAGACAGGTTTTATTTCTTATTTAGACTTTGTGACTGCTTTTTTATATTTTATGACTTGTAGCCAGGACCAATGACAGAGGCA